TAACGCCCTCCGCACTGCGTCCAAAGCCCCCGCCGCCATGACGCACCCCACGCGTGACTCCGCCCCTTCCCGCTCCGGCTTCTGTTCCCGGCCCCGCCCCGGCCGCCCAGCCGGGCTCTCAATACCCCGCACGGCCCCGACTCGCGTAGCGTCCCGGATTCCGGGTCTCACTATCCAGTGAGGATCAGCGCCCTCTTTCAGCCGGCCGCGCTTGCTGCCATTCCAGAGTTAACAAACGATTGTTTATTGACAAGTTCATACATCAGTACAAACGGACACGTTAAAAAGAGCCCCCGCCCCTGGCAGCCGGGGAGAGGAACCAAGCGCCGCAGTCCCGACAAAGTATAAAAGTTATAAATAAGGAGCTCTCAAAACGGGGAGGGGGTGGGGTCGAGTCTGGACAAGGGCGGCGGCGGCGGCGACCTCAGGCATGCACAAGGGGGCGCGTCGCCGGCCACGGAACCCCAGCCGCGACGGAAAGAGAGAAGGGGAAGAGCGACTACCTTCTCCCGAAGCACAGCGGGAATGCAGCGCTCCGCTGGTGGAAGACGGGCTGAGGCTCCCTAAGCACCTGGCCCTGGAGAGCCGAGCCTACATGCCTAGTTGTGGTGGGCTGCTACTGATGTGGAGCTCCACCCCCAGCCGCGAACGTTCTGGGGTCCAGGATTTGAGCATGGCTGTGCAGGTGGGATTGGCAGGTTTCGGCCTGCACAAGGCATCCTCGAGCACAGTTTCTTCATAGCATCTATGGCGATGCCTGAGTGCATGCAGGGTTGTGGGGCCTGAACCCATGGTCACAGTGGTCCAGCTGTCGTGGGGCAGAGGGAAGCAGGGGGCCCAGAGACACGTTCTTCATCCTGACTACACCATCTGCTGGCTGCCTAGTCCTACCCTGCAGGCCTACTATGCCCTCTCCTTCCCTTCATCCCTAACAACTGCCCCTTTAATGCTAATCTGTCCCCTCACCTCTGCCACTTCCCTGTGCCACTTCCCACCTGCCACTGTCTCTTGGCCCCTGTGCCTCCCTCCTTGCCAGCACTGCTTCTGTGGAGATTAACTCTACCAGGACCAGGTAGGTGTTTGTGGGCCACTATGAATCAGTGTTTTGGGTTTAGTGTTTCACTCCGTTCTGTGCCTTGATAGTTCCACTAAGCCAGGCAGGGTGGTAAAGCTGAAGCAGAATGTGAGAGGCCCAGGCACAACAGCCAACCAAGTACTCCAGAATGAGCACCCAGCTGTGTGGGGAGGACTAATTTCACCCACAGCCAAGGTACTCAGGTGGGTTGGCTGCCTCTAAAGCACGAGGGGAAGTCCACCCAAGCTTCTGACAATGTCATTTGGGATGCAGTGGCCCTTGGCTTCACTGGGGACCAAGACAGGAGGATAAGGAAGGCTAAGGGGCTGAGGAAAGGCTAGAAGCCGGCTTGTGTCTGCCCAGCAGAGGGCTTTACTGTCCTGCAGCAACATCCCACAGCTGGCTCCACAGGCTCCAGCCAGGAGGGGAGGGGCTCTCAGGAGCTGAAGGGAGTGGAATGTGGGGGCTCAGGTCCTGATAGCAACTCCTCTCCTGATGGCTGGGGTGAGCTGCCAGGAGCTGGGAGAAATAAAGCCTGCTCTGGGAGCCAGCAGCATGCAGCTGTGTGGGACGGGAGTGGGAGTAGAGGTGAAGGCACACCTTTGGCTAGTGGCACTGAGTACCACATTACCGCCCACCTCTACCCCATGGAGTACCCTGTTTATGAGCTGATCCCTGAAGTAATTTCAAATGGCTTCTAAGAAGAGAGGGCCAGCCCTTCCCGGCATCCCTCAGAAGGGGCAGGCTGCCCTCCTACCCTTCACAGCACCAAGATGACAAAGACTCAAGACCTCTGCCTGCCAGGAGCCACCTGCAGGGGCTGTGGAGGCAGGAGTTCCAAGGAATTGAGGCCACAGTCAGGGAAATAAATTAATAAATACAGGGCCCCATGAGGAGCAGCTGGGAAAGCTGCTTCCCCACTGAGTGCTGGCCCCTCCGTCCACTCCAAGCATCACGCAGGTTACAGTGAGTAGAGGAGGAACCAGTTTGGAATGGGGAGTGTTCACTTGGGACAGGCTCCGGAGCTCAGAGTTTGCGTTCCATGCGCCGCTCCACAGCTCGAAGCAACAGCTCTGAGTACTGCTCCAGCAGGGCCTGTGTTTGCTCAGCTCCCACAGCCCCAGGACTGCTGCCTGGGCTGGACAGTGCAGTCCCAGCCAGGCCTTCTAGCTCCTGCCGCACTGAAGAGAAGGTGTCTCTGAGGAGCCGAGTGATTCGACTCTGTTCCGCTGAGGGTGTCTTGCAGCCGGCCACCTGCAACAAGACCCCCCCAGAGGTGAGTTGGAGGATTCTGAAGGGCTGGCTCACGGCTCTGCTGGCTGCAGTCTGCCCTAGAAGTGACTGGCTGGGAGTTCCACAGTGCAAGATCAGCAAGCATGACCAGGGACTGTGGGGTCTATTCAGACCTCGGAGGGAACCCAGAGGAGAGTCCTTCCAGATTACAGAACAGTTACAGCTTGCCAGCCACCCTTCACGACAGCTTGCACAGGCTTCACTTTCTCTTTCATAGTGTGGACCAAACATTTGTGGATGTGAAAAAGATACTACTAGTACTTGCACTGGGACAATAGGCATAAAAGAGGACCTGGTCTTTCTACCCCCCAGCCTCCTGGCTGAGGTCTCCATGCTTCACCAGTGGGTGTCTGGTTCAGCACGCTTGGCTTAGCCTCCAGCCTCTCTCACATGCTCCACACAGGGCATTTGTGAGTGCTCCAGTTGTTTTATCCTAGACACTCAGCTGCCCTACACTCAGCACTGCTGACATGCTCCATCTTCCTGCCAGCTGGTGCCAACACTCACCAAGCGGTAGAGCCCCACGGCCTGGTGCACTTTCCCTCGGAGGTCGGCCACAAGTTGTTCACATTGCTCCAGGCTCATGGCTGGTTCTGAGGGGACAGACATAGCTCCGTGAGGCTCAGCAGGTTCTGTCAGGGCTCTCCACCCAGGGGCACTCATAGCAGGAGAGGCCTACCCTTCAGCACTGCCCCCTGCCCCCTACTCCTCTGGCTCCTTCCCTTCTAAACCTCCCCCGGTCCACCAGCAGCACACAGACAAGGTCCAGAGGATAGGGCGAGCCCCTGACCCAGAGTCCGGAAGGCATTGCAGGGGTAGGTAGGTCACAAGATCATGGGGGCTGGCAGGAGTCTCACCATGAGGGGTGTGACTTGTGAACTGAGACCGGAATAGAGAAGATGAAAATGCCAGAGGCTAGACACATAGAAATGGGGTGTAGACAGAGGGTGACTGACAAGACAGGGAGAGGGACGGAGCAGGAGATGGGAGCTAGGGAGCTGTGCACACCTGAGTCCTGGCTCAGGGCTGCCCCTGGCCTGGTGCATTCCATAGGGTTGGGAGTCTTCTCAGGGAGTGGGGGCTGCAAGTTCTCAGGGCGTCGGAGGAGGCTGCTGACTGGCAGTCGCTGGGCACCAGGGCTGTTGGGCCCAAGATGAGCCTGGCACTCTGTCCTCGGCTTGGGAGTGGTACCCTCCCCCACACAGGCCTGCCTCTCAGGTGGAATGTGAGCTTTTCCTAGGCCTGCTAGGGAGCCAGGCTGCTCTGTGTCACCAGGGGCCCAGCCTTTGGTTACAGGTGAGAATGTGGCCAGGGTAGGGCGGTCAGGCAGTGGTTTGGGGATGTCTAGGACCAGATGAGTTCGACTGGGCAGGGTTAGCTTGCTGAGTGGTGAGACTCGAAGTGGAGCAGGAGCCTGAGGTTCAGCTGCTAGGCCCAGGTTCTCCCCAACAGAAATACTGTGGGCCATCTTGGCCACAGAACTGGTGGTGGGGCTCTGGAAGGAGTGCGGCCGAGATGGACGTCCATCAGCCTGGGGCAGGGTCTCCCTCTCCTGTGAGAGCAGGGGCCCTGATGCAGGTACCTCATCTGCAGAGAAGAGACACAGGCAATCAGCAAGGGAGAAGCTGTCACCTTGCACATGCCCACTCCAGGGCCAGGCCTGGCTCACCCTGCCCTGCTTGCCATGCCTTCCATGCTCCCTGCTCCCTGAAGCTGAGCCCTCCAGGCTCCTCACCCTGTGGCATCAGACTGTGCACAGACTGGGCTTTCTGGAGTCCAGCTGAGGGGCTGGCTGTGGCCACTCTCTTGGGGACCCGGCTGCTGTCTGGGTTGTGACGACGGCGAGGCAATAGCACAGGAGCTGCCTCATGGGAACCAGGGTTGCCAGAGGATGGTTCCACCTCCAGGGGTGCTCCCAGGGGACTGGCACCACTGCTTCTCAGCTGCTCACCAGATGCCTGTGGTACCTGAACAAGTCTCGACATCACTGCCAGGCTGGAAGAAGATGGGGACGGTTCTCTGTAAGGAGGAAATAGGAGAGAAGGCTCAGCACTCCTCCCAGCCAGAGGGTGAGCTGCTCTCACAGCACCAGAGAGGCACTAGGAGAGGGGACAGAAACAAAGCCGGAGAGGGTCAGTTCTAGGCCATCCCTGGGGAGGGGAGAGGAGAGGCAGGAGCGCTGGAAGGTCAAGAGAGCTGAGCTGCTGTGGGGAAAGGGTTCCATACCTGTGAGGGGGTGTCTGCACTTGCAAGAGGAATCGTGAAGAGATGCTCCGAGACTCTGTCCTCTCTGGGACCTGCACCGGGCCTCCTGTCAGAGTCACGAGATCATGAAGTGAGGCAGAAGCCAAGCCCTTGGCCCAGGTTCTGCTTTCTCTAGAAGGAAACCCCAAGGTACTGCTTGCCCCTCCCTCTTGGCTGGGCACAGAGGGGAAGGGCAGATTGCAGTGACTAAATGCTGACCCTCTGACCACACCTGGAGCAGCCCCATTGGCCAGTGTCTCAAAGTGCTGTTTTAAGAACTGCTCCTGATCTGGGGTACGAGGGCTGCCTTCCTGGAGCCCAAAGGGGCCACCGCCTCCTTCCTCTTCTTCATCTTCATCACCCTCGGCTGGCTCTTCCAGGTCTGAGGAGATGCCATCCACACTCAGGGGCTCTGTGCTCTCGGAGTCTGGATGTGGGGAGGGAGAGGCATCACACTACACCTGTTACCATGGCTTCCCTCCCCACTTCAGGCGACTGGCCCCTCCCACCAGGCTGCAGCCTCACCTTCATTGGGGTGCTCAGGGCTAGAAAGGCGGCTGCTGCTATAATCCACAGAGCAGGCACTATCAGGGCTGTGCTTTTCTGAGCCCCTGTTGCCTGGGTACACTCTTCCCCGGGTTCCTCGGGTTGGGGCCTGCACCTGGAACTCACTGCTGGGAAGGCCAGCAGGGGGAAGAAGACCGTGAAGAACAGCAGCCCGCTAGACTCCTGCCTGCAAGCAGGACTAGGGAGAAGGTGGTGGTGAGTGGTGAGCAAGTCCTAAGCTTCTGGGGACCAGCTTCTGCCCACACTCAAAAGGGGAGGCAGCTGTGGGGCCCCAGGAGATCTGGCCAGGGTAGGTCCCTTGCCTGGTATCCATCGTGGGGCTGTCACTAGGCTCTGGGTACACAATTCCATCTTCAATGGGTGAAGGCTCCAGATCTTGGGCAAAGACCCCTTCCTCTTGTGACAACAACTGGATAATGCGGGGGCAGGAACAGGGCTGAGAAGCCTGAAGCCGAGGAGACTTTGCATTCTGGGAACATACAGAGGGACGTGAGAAGAGGGCCCTGGGGAGACATGGAGGTGGGCAAGGGTTTGGTATGCATCGATTCTGTGGAAGCTTAATATTCCAGCTCTGTGGAAAAAGACCAGGAGGGCAGGCTGGGCACTCACCGACACTGAGATTCCAGAAAAACTATATTAGCATCTAAGCTGCCAGCCTCCAGCCCCACTTAACAGCAGAATCATCCCAGGAACCCAGGCCAGGGCAAGGGCCACCTTTGCCCCTCCACCCCACACCTTTCTCTTCTCACCCCAATACCAATAATACAACCTAGCTTGAATCAGGTGGCCTATGCACCACAGGGACAGAGCAAGCACAGTCAGTCCCGAGTTCGGGCCCCAGCTGTTGGTACAAGGCTGGCTGAGGCTCTTTGGATGTGTCTAGAGAGCTGAGGAAGCTGGCTCACCTGGCTGGCACATGAGGCCTCAGTGGCCTGCTGGCCATGTTTCCCAGCTCCAGATCGGGGCATGGTTAGTGAGTCCTGGCTAGGCCTCTGAGGGGTTGGGGCCAGGGTCTCCAGCTGCCGCAGGTCAAGCATAGAGCGAACACTCAGCTGCACACCTGGCTGAGCCCATCGCCCCCTTCTTCTGGGTCCCACACTGGCTGCTGGAGCTGCATCCAGGAGTTCTGCTGTCTCCTGGGCCTGGTGGGAGAAGGGGTGGAGGATGAATAACCATAAGAACCACATAATGCTGTCAGTAAATACTCATTGTCCCTCACAAGATGCCCTGCCCTTCCCAGACACTAGTTCACTGCATCCTTAGGGAGAAGACTGTTACGATCCTCATTCTTCCAGCCAAGGGGGGTATGGCACATAGGCCTCCCACAGTGGGTGACCTGCAGGACAGGGTGGCTCTGGAGTTTATGCTCTTAGCTGCCCTCCCTACCCTCACATAGGAACCTCCAGTCTCTGCCTTACTTAGTGTCATGGACTCTTCAGGTGAACACCCAGGCAGCGACACAGGCTCAGCACCTCCCCTAGTGGTGACAGCCTCATCCAACATAGGAAGGACAGCACAGGGCTTCCTTCATCCCAACTGGCCTTCCTTGGATACAGTCAGTGCAGCGTGGAGCACCTGGGTAGACCCCACACCCAGTCACCTCCCCCTCCCCCTGCTATAACCCTGGAAGCACATCTGGATGTTGGCCACTCACCCGACTCATCTCCCAGTGGGACAGGCTTCGAGGCAGGGCTGGGCCAGGCCCTGTGGCTAGAAAAAAACAGGCAGTTATGGGAGATGTCCCCTCACCCACACTAAAGCCAGAGCCCCACAAGCCCATCCCTGTGTGGTCACAGTGATGTCCATGTCCTCAACTTGTGCACTGTCACCCCACAGTCCCTAAGAGGGTCTATCCAGCCACTATGCCAGCTGGTGCCAGACAGTCACAGACCTAGCTCTTTCTTGGCCAACTTGGCAAGGATGGGCAGAGCTGGCAATCCTTCCTCTTCAGCACCCTCATCTTCTCCCTCCTTGTCACTGTCTGAGGAGAGAGCTGGTCCAGAAGAAAGCACCACTGGGGCCTGGGGCCTGGGTCCAAGACAAGAAAGGTTGTAGGGAGAGAAGACTTGCTGGGCAAAGGCTAGCACCACGAGACTGTGTGGGTCCCAGTGTGGAGAAGGAACGGTGAGATTGCAGGGAGCCAGTGGGACCCACCCATCACCTGCCTGTCACCCTTCTCACCGGCTGGGTCCAGAAGGCCTCTGAGGAGAGGCTGGGTCTTGCTGCTTGCCCCCTCGCTGACACTGGCGCAGCTCAGCTAGACGCTGCCTCATGCTGATGGTCATCTCAGAGCTCAGGCGCCACACAAAGATGCAGCTGGGACAGAGCCAGAGAGATGGGTAAGGGAGGGGCAGAGCAGGACTCTGGAGGTGGCAGCACCATTAGTCCTCTTCCCCATGCACGAGCAAGGAGACCCTAGCCACACTCCGAGGCCAGGTTAGGTCCAGCCATGAAATCTCCACCCACGCCCATGTCTCAGAGACAGCAGTGAGTTGTACTTGGAGGTATCTGTGGCTTCTCTCAGGGAAACTGGCTTCTGCTCACCTGTCCCCTGACACAGAGATGAGGTGTTTGCAGTCATTACTGAATTTCATGCCAGTGACAATCTCTGTGAAGAACAAAGAATAAGCTCTATGGGCCACCCTCAATTCCCAACCAAAATCCTGCTTTAGCAGTAGAGATGGGGGCTAACTGGAAGGGAGGTCAGGTAGCTCTGCTGGGTCACAAGAAACTAAGGGCAGAGAGTAGAGTTCCAGGGGTAGTGTACTGGGGCCACACTCACCTGAGTGGCCAAACATGGTGGCTACGCACTCGCCTGAGGAGAAGTCAAAAATGGAAAGGTTCTTGTCGGAGCAGCTGGTGGCAATGTAGGTCCCTGAGGGGTCTGTCTGCACCTGGGGAGCAAGTCACATAGCTCAAACAGTACCAGCTCCTTTCTACCTGGATGTCTTTCCTCCAGTTCCTGGCCCAGTGCGTAGCCCACTTGGCCCTTACCTTAATGAGAGTGCCATCCTCCCCCTGTGATCCTTTAAACAGCTTTTTCTGCTTCCCACTACTGATGTTAAAGATCCTGTAAAGAAAAACACTTGTTCATAAAAGGAGGAATAAAAGTCCAGTGCACCGGGGGGCATAACCGCTAGCATTCAATCCATGCCTGTTCTCCTGGGGGTACCCCACCAGCTCCACAGGAGCCAGCCAGCGAGGCAATGTCTTTACTGTGGAAGATCAAGGGGGCAGAGGCCAGACAAAAAGATCTGAGGACTCAGCTGTGCACAACTGACCTGCAAGGCAGGAGAGAAGTGGTCAGATGGCCTGAAAAAGTGACACCCACCGGATATTCCGGTCCTGACAGCCGATGGCCGTGTACTTCCAGCTGGGCTCCACATCCATGTCATAGAGGGTTGTCTTCCGCACCACGTGGTGTGTCCGAGTAAACTGTACTCCATCTCCACACTGCAGGGGTAGAGTATGTGGCAAACCCTCCCCAAGTGTCTTGCCAAGCCCACAGAGCCCTACTCTCACCTCCCTTTACCTATTGTAACTTCAGGCAGGAGACAGTAGAGATCCCCACCCAACCCTTCCCCTTCCAGGGATGCCCAGTACCCTCACCTTCTGTGCAGTGCGGAAGTAGATGCTCTTGTCTGCTCCACAGCTGATCATGCGCACTTGCCCATCGCTGGCTATGGAGGAGAGGTCTAATTGTTCCCACTGTTCCCACCATAGGGTCAGCCTTTCCTCTGCTTCGTGCCATATTTTTTCCCATTCAGGCTACTCCACAAGGCACACCAACCAATTAAACCAGAATGCTTTCCTTTAAACCTACATTTCCACCTGTCATCCCATGCCCCTCCCAGGCCTCCCAACTGCTGTCCAACAGTCACTACTGGGAAGTAGGATCCTTCTCATGGAAACAGGAGGTGATGTAAGGGCAGGATGCCTCTCAAGTGCCCTGGCCCACCTGCAAACTTGACTGCAGTGATGGAGGATGAATGTTCATCTAGAGTCTGCTGCAGGCTGTACTCCCGCCCAGCATCCAGCACGTGGATTAGCCGATCCCGGCTTGCTGATGCCAACAGCTTCAGACCTGAGATTGGAAGAACTCTATCAGCCCATGTGTTCCCTCAGCAGCCCAAAACTACAGCCCCAAGGGAACTGAGCCTCATATCCCTCAGCTACATGAACCATGAAGCAGGGACAGAGTCATCTTCCTCAAAACCTACAAAGGCCAAATGGTCCAAAAGATTCTAGGCTGCACATCTAAGAGCCACAAGAGATGTAAGTGGCAGGCCTGGAGAAGGCCTCTGTCTGGGCAGGGTATGGACAACCTCCTCACCTGTGTCTGGCTTAGAGTACTCCAAGCATAGGATCTCTGAGTCATGGGCCTCCACCTTCAGCATCTCACTCAGGGACTGTAGTTCATGTACCCTGCGAAGATGAGGAGAGGAGGGAAGGGGTCACTGCCAAGGCTGGAGGCAGAACTTACCCCCTCCAACTTCCTCTGCTATATCTTCTCCCCCAACATTTTTCTTTCCCTGAAAACTTTTCATTATTTTTAGTGAACTATGATGCTTAGAGAAAAATTGCAAAGAGTACAGACATTCCCTGTCTCTTACTTGGCTTTCCCTAATGTTAGTGTCTTACATAATGTTATAGTTTGGATCTAGAATGTCCCCCGCAGTCTCATGTGTTCAGAAGTGGGGATTGTGGAAGGTGACTGATCTCGGGGTCCTATCCTCATCAGGGCTTGTGCCTTTGGAGGGCATCTCTCCTTCCCTAGTCCTCCCTTCTCTCTCTGCTCTCTGGCTGCCGAGGTGTGAGCAGCTTTCTTCTTCCATGCTCTTCCACTGTGTTGTTTCTGCCTGGCAGCCAGCTAGCCATGAACTTAACCCACTGAAAATCATGAGCCAAATAAATCTCTTCTCATATATAACACCACCAGAGCCTGGAAATTTATGTTGGGATAATACTATTAACTAAAGATTTTATTCAGACTTCACTTTTTTTCTGTATATCCTTTTACTTGATCCTGGATCTTACCAAGGGCCCAATTAGCATTTAGTTGTCACTTCTCCTTAGGCTTCTGTAGTCTGCAATGGTTTTCTAGTTGTTTCTTTTTTGGTACCCAGGATTGAACTCGGGTTCTTGTACTTGAGAGGTAGGCGGCAGAACCACTGAGCTAAATCCCCGGCCCTCTAGTTGTTTCTTTTTTCTTTTTCTTTTTTTTTTTTTTTTT